GCGGCTGAGGGCGTTGCGGACGTGGGCCGCTGGCGCGAGAAAGGTTTGGGTTGATGACATGCGCTCGGTATCAAAATTCCTGACTAACGCGTCGTTCGATTATCTGGTTTAATCGATAACTAATTTTGGCTATTAAATATACTACTAAACAATTAGACAATTATTTTCACATAATTGAACAAAATATTAATCGAGCACGAAATAAATAATATTGGACAAAATGAAATAAATGACAATCTCAAAATAATCCGGAACAACGGGGCGCTACAGTCCTGGACTTCATTCAAAATTGTGGTGACTACATAAAGTCAGCCACCACTTGTGCGCGGTACTCCCGGAGGAAAGCTGCCCTGTTGTCGTAGCCCACATCATTTGCCTAGCTTGAAGAGCAGTGGCATTAGCGTAGCATTGTCTATCTGGGGCATGGACAGCCCTCTCTATGGCTAGGGTGGCCTCCAATTCAGCTCGAGCAGCCTCCGCCTGGGCTCGAGCGGCTCGCTCTTGCTCGAGCGCCACCTCATTTTCCTTCAAAATGGCCTCTCTCTCTCCGCCATCAGCACCTCCTTCACTGCCAGGGCGGCATCCTTCTCCGTGAGCGCCTCTTCATTCTTAGCAAGCTCTCCGCCAAGGGAGTCGATCTTGGCTTTGAGCTCGACTCTATGTTCCTTCAGCGACTCGCGGAGCTTAATCTGGTGATGCAAGAGGGATGCATTTTTCTCATTCAAGGCGCCAATGAAGTCCTCGAGTTTTTTAATGGACTTCCCAGAATTGTCCCGATCTTCCTTGGCCAGAGGCAAGAACTCGACCAAGCCCTACGATCAAAGGAAACATATAAGTTTAACACATATGATAACAAATCATAATAGAAGAATACGATATGACTGAGAAAGAATAGTACCTGGGCAAGCCATTGCACTAGGCGATCACTACACTTTGGAAAAGTGACGCCAGGGCCCTTGCGGTCGTCCTCCAGAAGTGCGCCCTCGAGGTGAGCAGCTACCTCATTCACCGGGGCCGTGAGCAGAGAGGAGGAGCTCGAGGCCAGGGCGTCAGCAGGCTGGCCGGTGGATTGGCCGGTGCGCAGGCGTTTTCTAAGCCCCTCTAAATGGTCAGTGCGGGGACGCTTTCCCTGAGCTAGGTCATGACCAAGGTCATCTCGGCCGCTAGACTCGACCACGATTTTGGTCGAGCTAGCAGAAGGGTTTTTGGAAGACGGTTGGTCGAGAGGAGTTTTGTTTTGGGTATTGGTTCTGGATGAGGTATTGGTGTGGGAAGACTTGTCCTTCATATTGGTGTTGGAAGCGTTGGTTTGGCTGTTGGTTTTTTGGGAGAAAGTTTAGCCGGTGTTGTTCTTGGGGGTGGTCGAAGTCTTAGTTTCGGGTTTTTTAGGAGGCGTTCGTGCAGTGGTCTTAGTAGGAGGTGGTGGAGCTTGTTGCTGTTGGGAGTGATAGCGGTCGCGGCGGCTGTTGTTGTTGCTGTTGTTTGGGCAGCGGCTGTTGTTGCTGCTGTTGTTATTGCGGTTGTTGTTGTGGTTTCGGTTGTTGCGGTGGTTGTTGTTGTGGCTGAGATTCAGGCTGAGAAGAGGTGGTTGAATTATCGACCTGATCGACCTGATTCCCGGTAGATCCCGAGGTGGACCCAGGGCTGGATTTTTTCTTCAAAGGCATCTTCCTGGGAGGAATATTAAAGCTGGGCATCTCTGCAAGAAAATAATAGGAATATTAAATTCAATATCGACCAGACACACTCGTACGAGAAACAAAAAAGTATATAGATACTCGAACATGATGGTCAAAAATTACTTCGATCATCCTTAATCCTAATCAGATCAAGGACTTTGTTAGTTGGTGGAGAGAAGTTTTTGTGGGTGAGAAGGCCGCAATGGTGGAGAAGGCTATCATCTTTAAGGAGAATCCCTGACGCAATGGGCTTGGAATTCCAAACATGAATCCATTGGTCGAAGAGGGGGTTAGGAGATGGGTTTGAGATCTCACGAGGAAGTTCCTTGAGCCAAGGAGAAGGTGTCCAAGGAAAAGGAGTATCAGGCTCGACATAGGAAAAAGTATCTGCCAACTTGGGGATGTTAGAGGGGATGTCAGAAATGAAATAGACGTTGTTGCGACTTTTCAGATAAAGGCCACGGGCCTGTTTGGAGGGGGCGTAGCAGTAATGTAAAAAATCTAGGTCGAATCAACCTAGACGGACATGGCACAAGATGATGAAGGTGGTCATGAAGCAAATAGCGTTAGCAGGAAGTTGGTTTAAGGGAAGCCCGAACCACTCGCAGATTTGGAGCAGGTTAGGGCTTAGGGGAAGATGTCGAGATCAAATTGGATTTTGAAGAAGGTGTAGCAGTCAGAAGGGTGATGGTCGTAGGTGTCGGAAAAAGAAGGGCAGTAGAACACCCAACCAGAAGGATGGCCGACTTTGCTACCTTTTAGCCATCCAATTGAGCGAAAGGCAGAAGAGGTAGATTTAGAGGAGGTTTTGGCCGAAGATTTTTGGGAAGCAGTCTGAGAGGCAGAAGGAATGGTCGAGCATTTTGGTGCATCAGGTTTAGAAGAAGAAGGGACGGTCAAAGATTTTGGGAGAGTAGTTTGAGAGGACGAAGGAATTGTGGTAGTAGACTTGGAGGTAGTGAATCGAGAGGAGAGAGGGACGGTGTCGAGATTGTCCTCGTCCTCCTCTGGCTCATTTAGCGAGCCAAAGGCAGGTCGACGACGGCTGAGGGAAATGTTTTCCATGGTATCCCCGGAGTTAGAGGCGGAGACAGGAGTAGGAACAATATCGCCAGGGCGTAGAATGGAGAGAGGAACAGCGTCGGGGATATAAGGAACTTCCCGAACTGAATTAGAGGAGGAAGATAGAGAACTCAAGTCAACACGGGAGTAGTGGTCCTTTTCACTAGAGATTGCGGAGTCTGAAAAACAAAAAAAAGCAAAAGGAACAATATCAAAAAGGGAGCTTTCGCGATGAGAAAAAGGAGGAAATGTGGAGACTTTCAAAGGCTAGAGTTTTTCGGAGGAGGCAATTTTGAAAAGTTAAAAGGGGTAAGAATAGGAATTTTGAAAAATTATGAAAGGAAAAGCAAAATTAATAGCGCTTAACAAAGCAAATCGAAGTACCCAACACACAGATTTAGAACAAAACGCACAAATTCAGAACATTTTACAAACAAGTCCAAGATATCCAACGCGAAAAATCTGGGATCATATAAATTTGAAACACAGGAAGCACGAATTCAAGGGAAGAACAACTTACTCTTAGTTGCAGTTGTAGGAATTGAAGGAGCCTTGAGATTTCAAGAGAAATCGTCGAGAGCAAGAAACTAGGGTTTGCAGGGAGGTTTTAGAGCACAAGAGAATTCAGGGATTGCAAAGGTGGACAAAGTCTGAAATTCACTAAGTATGTGTTTTATACTTGGATGAGTTGAAGGGTTGGAGGATGAGAACCATTGTATTAAAGCAGAATCCCATGTTTGGGAGCATTAAATTAACACGAGATTCAAAAGGGGCGCATTATGCGAGGGGCTGCAATAATTAAAGTACCTATCAGACGCGACAAATACGACATGTGGCAGATGTGCAGGCGCGACAGAGAGGACGCGTGGTAGGCAACTTTATTTTTTTCGGCTAAAGGGAACTAATTGAAAACATAGTGGGAAATGCACTAGATGATCGATATGCGACCTAATACTCAGAAGAAAGACGAGCACAAATCCACTCTTAGATCGAGTCATTAAGACTCGACCAGAGTGGGGGGATCTAGATAATATGGGATATTATACCCCCAAGGGTAAAACGGTCTGCTGATCCGGTCAAAGGGGTTGTACAACGAGGGAGCCAAACTGTAATATCCCGTCAGATTAATAATATAAATCATGTTTTTAGTTCCGATATAATAATATTTTCGAGTATTATTTCCAGAATTAATTATTTTCAGTCGAGATTACCCGAAATTATTTTCGACGTTCCGTTTACGTTCGGAATAATCTTGGTAATAAAGTATTATGCTTAATTAAGTAATTAAGCACTTAGTTATAATTAATTAAAAATTAATCAAGTTTAAGATGTATAAAGCCGTAGCATTTAATCAAATTTTTCTCCATTTATTTTGCTATTGCCCTAAGCAAATTAGTGGGAATTAAGGGAGAATTCTCATTTTTAAGCTAGCATGAGGTGTCTTGTTTCTAGTGCCTAATAGTATGACTAAGCTAACTAAATGATGAGTTAGCATTAAGTTAGTATGTGGCAAAGAATTAAGGTGCCAACAAAGCCCACCTCTTTATGCTAATTCGGTCATGATATTTAAAGGTGGAGTTGGGATGAATTTTCCCCATATTTCAGCCTATACTTTCATTCCAAAATTTCATTAGTTAAGCTAAAAGAGAGAGAGGTGAGAGTTGCTTGCGATACTGCACGCTATTTGCATAGCCGCGCACGAGAATATCGCACGTCGCACGCACGGAGACGCGAGCTACGAACGGTCCCGAGCAGCTGGTGCGATCAGTCAGTTTGATCAGGCATCAGTTATCAGCACTGCCTTCTATTTTCACGGATCAGGTGGGGACTCAGACTAAGTACTACATTGATTATAATTACGCTACCATGTTTGAGGTATGTATTATCAGTATCCGCTCGGAATGGTCGCGGGCCATTCTGGGTTCTAGTGGCCTTAATCTGCCCACTAGATTGTGCACATGGTGTCCGGCTATGCCGGCAGATGTTCAGTTATCAGCCAGGTGATGTATATCACGAGATCAGTATCAGATTATTCAGTACCGGTATCAGATATCAGTTATCAGTTTCAGTATCAGTTCAGTTATATATGCCAGGATCATGATATTGTTATTATTTTCACTGTTTTATTTTATTATGAATTTCAGCGGAGCACAGTGTTTTAGTGCTCACGCCCCCACATTATTCATGTTTTTCAGGTCACAGAGTCGGAGACGAGGAGTGAGCTGGCGAGCGGTTCAGGACATTTGTTTATATGTATATGTTATGTTTGGCTACACCAGATTTCCGCTACTGTTTTCAGTACTTTTAACCAGCTTTTGATCCGACGTTAGTCGATTAATATATTATAACCGTTTTCTTATTAAGTTCAAAAAAAAAAAATTAATTAACGGTTTCTCAGATAAGACAGATTTTACGGTAGCACCTCGAATCGGATTTCAAAAAAGGGAAATCTTTTATTTACTTTTGTTTAGAAAATTTGCGAAAAAGCGCGCTCTGAAATTCAGAAAAAGTCGGGGTGTTACAATTGGTATCAGAGCACGTTTCTGCGTCTCTGAAAAGTTTTATAAGTCAGAAATTTTCAGAAAAACCTGAACCGTCACGATCACGCCTCGCCGACTACAGGTAAGTGCTGATTTATGTTTTCAGTTATAAACAAATTACTTTGTCTATGCTCAGAAATTTATTAATCATGACTTAGTTAAGATGCTCGAATCAAGTTCAGACTTTAGAATTCAGTGTACTCAGATATAACTCTAGATTTTTTAAGGGTCTATATCAGTATTTTTCAGCCATGTTTGGCCACTCGTCAAGAGATCTGTGTACTTTAGTAATCAGTTAGAGTATTTTTCATGTGTTCAAAAATTTCGAACTGTTTCAATGATCAGATATCACCCCGTAGGGAACCCGATCGCCCAGTTTTTCCCTAGGCCACTATAGTCGAACAATTCCGCGACTAACATGCTGAGAAATTTTCCGGGCAAGGAGATCATCATATCGTGGACGAGTGGATTCAGGGCCTTGAGTTGATTTTCGAGGTCATGGATTGTCCAGATAGATATCGCGTTATTTGCGCTCAACTTCAGCTAACCGGCGATGCCCGACTCTGGTGGAATGCCTACTAGAGCATGCGTCCCTGCGAGAAGGAGGGTTGTACCTGGGATAGGCTCAAGGAGCTGATCCACGAGAAGTACTACCCCACTTATTACAGAGCAGAGATGGAGCGTCAGTTTCTGTCGCTCAAGCAGGGTACTCGGTCTGTTGACGAGTACGAGAGAGAGTTTACCCGACTTGCAGCTTTTGTTCTGGACCTGGTTCGTACGGAGGCACAGAGGGCACAACGCTTCATCGACGGGCTTTACCTAGTAGTCCGTCACAACATTGTAGGTAACGGGACCCAGACCTATGCTCGTGCCGTTTCGATTGCCCAGGAGGTGGGCGCCAGCATCCGGAGGGAGGCCAACCGCGATCGTTCTCAGCCATCCGCCCCCGTCCAGTCATCCACAGCTCCACCAGCCCTACCAGCTGCCCGCCGACGAAAGAGAAGAAGAGGAAGGGGAAGGGTGGCCAGACTGACAGGAGGACCCGATAGAGACAGCAGCATGTTCCACCGTGACCCACTTGTGGACGACTTCACCGAGGCGAGTGTCGCTTTGGCCAGGATGTATGCTACTATTGTCACGAGCCTGGACACTTTGCTAACCGTTCTCCGAAGAAGGCACANCAGCTCCAACAGCCTCAGCAGCCACAACAGCAGCAGCAGCAGCCCGTCAGCAGGAACAGTGGCCGCCCCAGCAGCAGCAGCAGAGGGGCAGACAACAACAGGCCCGAGTCTACGCAGTCGATCAGGTCGAGGCCGAGCAGCAGCCATGTACGATGTCAGGGATGATCATGCTTAATAATGTTCCTGTGTTTGCTTTATTCGATACTGGAGCAACGCACACTTTCATTTCACGACGATGTCTTGATGCCATCAGAGTTCATGCTATTTCCGCTGTCGATCCTCTCGAGGTGAGTTTAGCCTCGGGAACAAAGATAGTGACCTCAGCTAAAGCTTCAGATCTCAGCCTTTCCATCGGTGGCCGAGTATTGTCTACCGACGCGTATGTTCTCGAGATGAGGGACTTTGACCTTATTCTCGGAATGGATTGGCTATCCTTTTATCATGCAGACATTCGATGCCATGACCGGGAGATTACTCTCTATCTTCCGGGAGACAATCCGATTACCTTCTTTGGCACCAGGAATCGTTCATTACCTCATGTTGTTTCGATGGCAAAAGCCACCAAGTTGCTACGACGAGGCAACTGCCAGGGTTATCTGGTGAGCCTTGTTGATGATTCTCAGAAAGCACGATCACCGCACGATGTTCCAGTCGTTCGTGAGTTTGTGGACGTGTTCCCAGACGAGCTTGCAGGAGGACCGCCTAACCGGCAGGTGGAGTTCTCTATCGATCTCATTCCAGGAGTCGGCCCAGTATCCAAAGCCCCGTACCGTATGGCGCCGAAGGAGTTGCAGGAGCTTAAGATGCAGATTGAGGAGCTATTACGACTCGGTTTCATCCGACCGAGCGTGTCACCTTGGGGAGCACCCGTTCTCTTTGTCAAGAAGAAGGACGGTTCCATGCGCATGTGTATCGACTACCGGGATCTTAACCGGTTGACGATCAAGAAAAAGTATCCACTTCCCAGGATCGACGATTTTTTTGATCAGCTGAGGGGAGCCTGTGTTTTCTCAAAGATTGATTTGTGATCAGGCTACCACCAGCTGAAGATCAAGGAGTCAGATATTGCTAAGACCGCTTTCCGGACTCGTTACGGCCATTTCGAGTTCGTTGTCATGCCATTCGGCCTCAGTAATGCTCCAGCAGTTTTTATGGACCTGATGAACTGTATTTTCCATCCCTACCTCGATCATTTCGTTATTGTTTTCATTGACGATTTTCTTATCTACTCGAAGAGCCATAAGAAGCATGAGGAGCATCTGAGGGTTGTCCTCGAAACCCTCAGACGAGAAAAATTATATGCAAAATTCTCCAAATGCGAGTTCTGGCTCCAGCAAGTAGCTTTTCTGGGTCATGTTATTACTCAGGCAGGTATCGAGGTGGATCCTTCTAAGGTCTCAGCAGTTCAGAACTGGTCGACACCGAAGAGTCCGTCCGAGGGTCGCAGTTTTCTCGGTTTAGTTGGCTACTATCGCAGGTTCATTGAGGGCTTTTCCAAGATTGCTCTCCCACTATCCCAGCTGACGAGGAAGTCTGTGAAGTTCGAATGGACGGATCATTGTGAGTCGAGCTTTCAGGAGCTCAAGAAGAGATTAACTTCAGCATCGGTGTTGACTATTCCCGATCCTTCTCGAAGTTTCACCATTTTCAGCGATGCTTCGAGACAGGGTTTGGGATGCGTCCTTATGTAGGATGCTCAGGTCGTCGCTTATGCTTCACGCCAGCTCAAGCCGCACGAACAGAACTATCCGACATACGACTTGGAGTTAGCCGCAGTTGTTCATGCTCTCAAAATTTGGCGACATTATCTTTACAGCGGTCGTTGCGAGATTTTCACAGATCACAAGATCTTGCTATAGATTTTCACACAGAAGGAGCTCAACATGAGACAGCACCGTTGGCTCGAGCTCGTCAAGGATTACGATTGCTCGATTCAGTATCATCCGGGGAAGGCGAACGTTGTTGCTGACGCCCTAAACAGAAAGGTGAGGGGTGACTTGACGTACGTCGTTACTCAGCAGAGTCCGTTGATTCAGGAGTTTGCCCGGATGCAGATTCAGGTGGTCGATGCACTTCCCACAGCCATTTCGGGGAGTGTTAGTGCCATGTAGATTCAGCCGACGCTGAGAGAGAATCCGGCGGGAGCAGGCTTCTGACGAGTTCGTTCGTGTCATGGATGCCAAAGTCCGCGCCGGAGGTGTCGAGGGTTTTCAGCAAGGTGCCGATGGTGCTTTAGAGTTCAGAGATAGGATCGTGGTGCTGAAAGTCGAGGCGTTCCTGAAGGAGATTTTGTCAGAGGCTCATACCGCACCCTATCTAGCCCATCCCGGAAGCACGAAGACGTATCATGACATGAAAGGGTCGTTCTGGTGGCGAGGGATGAAGAAGGACGTCACCGAGTTCGTCAGGAGATGTTTTACCTGTCAGCAAGTCAAAGCCGAACATAAGAGTCCGATCGGCCTCCTGCAACTGCTACCGATTCTGAGGTGGAAGTGGAAGGAAGTCACGATGGATTTCGTTACGAGATTACCGAGGTCATTTGAACATCACGATGCGATTTGGGTCGTGGTCGACAGATTGACTAAGGTCGCTCATTTCTTTCCCGTTTCGATGAGGATGTCTTTAGATAAGTTGGCTGAGATATATACCCGTGGAATCATTCGACTCCACGGAGTGCCCGTTACTATCATATCAGACAGAGATCCCAGATTCGTCAGTAGATTCTGGCAGAGTTTACACAGGGCGATGGGAACGAAGCTAGAGTTCAGTTCAGCCTACCATCCGGAGGCACTTTACGGTCGTAACTGTCATTCCCCTCTTTATTGGGACGACATCGGAGAGCGACGAGTACTCGGTCCGAAGATGATCCAGGAGACAGCAGATCAGGTTGAGTTGATCCGGCAGAGACTTAAGACAGCTCAGAGTCGACAGAAATCTTCAGCCGATCAGCATCGACGAGACATTCAGTTCAAGGTTGGCGAGCCAGCCTTTCTCAGAGTTCGTCCGATTCGCGGAGTTGTTCGATTCGGGAAGAGAGGGAAGCTGCACCCTCGATTCATTGGCCCGTTCGAAGTTCTCGAGTGAGTTGGCGAAGTCGCGTATCAATTAGCCTTACCTCTCGAGCTATCAAGCATTCATAATGTTTTTCACGCATCTATGTTGCGTAAGTACGTGTGCGACCCCGATCATGTTATTCCCCATTCAGATTCAGCCAGATCTATCGTACGAGGAGCGACGGGTAGCTGTGCTGGACCGTCAGGTTCATCGGCTCCGGAAGCGAGATGTTCCCCTCGTGCGTATTCAGTGGGATCGCCACGGAGCTACTTTGGAGTCGGAGGCTGATTTTCGTGCTCGTTTTCAGATTTTCAGTTCTGATGTAGATATTTTCATGTTTCATGTACGCATTTCATGTTTATTCAGTTCGTTTTGAATTTCCGAGGACGGAAATTTTTAAGGAGGGAGGATTGTAATATTCCGTTAGATTAATAATATAAATCATGTTTTTAGATCCGATATAATAATATTTTCGAGTATTATTTCCAAAATTAATTATTTTCCCGAAATTATTTTCGACGTTCCGTTTACGTTCGGAATAATTTTGGTAATTAAGTATTATGCTTAATTAAGTAATTAAGCACTTAGTTATGATTAATTAAAAATTAATCAAGTTTAAGATGTATAAAGTCGTAGCATTTAATCAAAATTTTCTCCATTTATTTTGCTATTGCCGTAAGCAAATTAGTGAGAATTAAGGGAGAATTCTCATTTTTAAGCTAGCATGAGGTGTCTTGTTTCTAGTGCCTAATAGTATGACTAAGCTAACTAAATGATGAGTTAGCATTAAGTTAGTATGTGGCAAAGAATTAAGGTGCCAACAAAGCCCACCTCTTTATGCTATTTCGGTCATGATATTTAAAGGTGGACTTGGGATGAATTTTCCCCATATTTCAGCCTATACTTTCATTCCAAAATTTCATTAGTTAAGCTAAAAAAGAGAGAGGTGAGAGTTGCTTGCGATACCGCACGCTAGTTGCATAGCCGCGCACGAGAATATCGCACGCCGCACGCACGGAGATGCGAGCTCCGAACGGTCCCGAGCAGCTGATGCGATCAGTCAGTTTGATCAGGCATCAGTTATCAGCACTGCCTTCTATTTTCACGGATCAGGTGGGGACTCAGACTAAGTACTACATTGATTATAACTACGCTACCATGTTTGAGGTATGTATTATCAGTATCCGCTCAGAATGGTCGCCGGTCCATTCTGGGTTCTAGTGGCCTTAATCTGCCCACTAGAGTGTGCACATGGTGTCCGGCTATACCGGCAGATGTTCAGTTATCAGTCAGGTGATGTATATCACGAGATCAATATCAGATTATTCAGTACCGGTATCAGATATCAGTTATCAGTTTCAGTATCAGTTCAGTTATATATGCCAGGATCATGATATTGTTATTATTTTCACTGTTTTACTTTATTATGAATTTCTGCGGAGCACAGTGTTTTAGTGCTCACGCCCCCACATTATTCATGTTTTTCAGGTCACAGAGTCGGAGACGAGGAGTGAGCTGGCGAGCGGTTCAGGACATTTGTTTATATGTATATGTTATGTTTGGCTACACCAGATTTCCGTTACTGTTTTTCAGTACTTTTAACCAACTTTTGATCCGACGTTAGTTGGTTAATATATTATAACCGTTTTCTTATTAAGTTAAAAAAAAAATTAATTAACGGTTTCTCAGATAAGACAGATTTTACGGTAGCACCTCGAATCAGATTTTGAAAAAGGGAAATCTTTTATTTACTTTTGTTTAGAAAATTTGCGAAAAAGCGCGCTCTGAAATTCAGAAAAAGTCGGGGTGTTACACAAACTGATCTAAGAGTAAT